AAAAAAAAAAAAATATTTCAATGTCTAATAAATTTGAATAAAAAATAGATATTAAATATTTATTAAATTCTCTTAAAAGAATAGATAATTCCAATGTTTTTTTGAAGCAGTTAATATAATCAAAAACTTTGATCGTATGTACGAGAGTAGATATTTTATCAAAAATTTTTACTATACTGTCACATTTTCCACAATTCGCTACTATTAAATAAGATTCACGAGAATATCTCGAGCGAAAACTGGCTTTTTCTGGCTAAACAACGCTTTTTAATGTAGCATCTTTTGTAGTCCTTTGTTTGTTCTTTCTCTTTTCCTTATACCGTGGCATGCAACGTTGCGCAGACTTTTAGCGGGCAAAGTCGTTGACGGACGGTTTATGTCAGTTGAGATTCGCGTTCTTAGAAATTGAGAAACTTTTTGTCGCGTTTACCAGGTAAAGGTGAGCAAGATGACTCGTGAGCAATGCATAAACGCCTGCCGAAGCGCCGACCAAGTAAAGACTGGGTTGCAGAAGCGAGGCTCCCAAAGCGCCGCAAACTCCGCCGCCCAAATAGATTGTCGCTACCCCTATTCGTCCTTGCTCCACCTGCAATCATAAGTTTTTCACGTCTTTTATCTGCTTGCATTTAATAAAACTCTTGTCCATTTACAAGCGTGCGAAATTATAACAATCTCGGTTATTTAATTGTCACAAGAATAATTTGTTGCTGAGTTGATGGCAAAAATATATTTTAAGATCCGATAAAATAACAGAAATTTTATTTGACAATTTCATTTATGTGTAACAGATTGTGATGCGCATTACCTAACAGCATAAAACATAACAATATATATGTTTAATTTATCAAAACAATTTTTCATTAAATTAACTAATATTTCATTAATATTTGTATTGATATAAAAGATAGATATAAACTTCTCAGAAGGCAAACTAATCTATTCCATTTTTTGTAAATTTCTTAATTTTTAATACTCTAAAATATATAATTAGAAAATTTATAAAAAGTGTAGTTGATCAGTTTGGCTTTAGAAAAGCTCATTTATTGATAACAAAATATTATCCTTATCGTAATCATATAACTATGCCCGAGTGAACGCCATTATGTAACATAATTTCGATTAATATATCTTTCGAAAAATCTTGTAAAAATATACTTCCGCGTATATATATTTAGCTGCTTCTAATATATATTTTGCATACGATAAGAGCGATTTTATCTGCCAATATGCGACTGTTATCTGGTATAATCGCGGGTAAAAAGGTTCGCAATCGAGAGAAGAGGTTTCCTCTTTTCCCTAAACGCGCTTTATCCATATCAGTCAGCTGAACGACGTTCCCGCAATTTACTTGATTGGCTCACCTCGAGTGGAGTAGCCAAGACCAGCTGAATGACCACGTTGAGTGCGAGGTGAAGTGCGTTCGAGTGCAGTAACATGTAGGAGGCGAACCTCCAGCCCTGCACCCTCTGACGGGGATCGTAGACCAGCCATCTCCGTAACGTTGCCTCGTCTCCCAGGCAGTGGACGGTTATCTGTTACGAGTGAAAGCACGTTTAATGTGCATTTCTCGCCTCTGTCATAGAATATTATACGGTGAAAGAACGTAATATTCAAGAACATGGAAATAATTATACGCCGCCGTGGACAGACATGCCAGAGACGCTAGAGATGAAATTTATTGTAATTGGCGATGTTTCCGTTAAATGTGGTATATGCGGAATATTGAAATATTCCACGTGTGTGGATGTGTATACATACACTAAATATAATTTTATACACACATACACATCAATTTTTACGCGTTTTATCCTGCTAAAATGTAATATCTATTTTATTATTTATATTTGTATTGAATAATAATAACAATAATATATATATATA